TTTCATTTTTAATGGTATTCTTTTTATTTTCCTTGAGTTCTAGGCACACAAAATCAGTTTTCTTATTGCTTTTTTATTTAGTAGATTAAACAGAAACTAACTTACAATGAATACAGGTTGGGGAAATTATTTCTAGGAAACCAAATGAAAATGATTATCACTGCTTATCTTACCTGAGTTTCTCCAGAGAGCAAAGCCTAAGTTGAAAGCTTGTGAGTATGTATTTTATTAGATAATAATCCCTGGGAGCAGGAGTGAGGGAAGGAGGAATGAAGTAGAGAAAAGAGTCAATATTAGAATATGCTTTGGTTACTCAATGTTTAGCTAAAAAGCCATGTAAATGTATACCAGGACCACTTGCTGATAAGCAGGGGTGAGGTGGGTTTGGGGGAGGACAGAACAAGAATGAAAGAAGCCTTTTCATATTAGATTCTGTTCCCCATTGGCCAGCATTTTCCACCATGGGGAATTACCTTCAAGGCTGTGTATGTACAAGGTATGAGGGTCAGTAAAGCTGCATATATAAAATTGGGCCTAGAGATAATAAATATATAGCACAAGATGGAGTAAGAAATTGTATGAAGCGGGTTAGAGCCTGGGAGGAACTTGCTGCAATGTTGATCAAAAATAGAAATAGGTGAGGTTAAGTGGATCAGTAGGAACACATCGGCACAAATGAAAAATACCCTCAGTTTTGTGAAGTTGAGTAAATTTTCTCATTAATACATTATCTATTGACTATCATATAACTGCTTTCCCTGTTGGAGTCTTCAGACAAGATTTTGAATGAAGAATACTCAGTGGAGTAGTTAGGCATTGGGAAACATGACAAAGACAAATTATTTGAAAGCATGTGATTAGGTTACAAGCACGAGGCCAGGCAAATAAATGATGTGTTTAAAGAACCTCATCCTCTTCTTGCAGAATCATACTAGAGAAGGCAGAGTTGGAGAAAAGTATAGGAGTCTATGTCCTGTGGGTAATCAGGGGAGGAGCCCCAAGTGCCCATCAATCACACTCAGACTTGTTACCTGGGAGTGAATAAGTCATAGAGGGGAACAACATTCCACCTATGAGAGTTTAGCTCAACAAAGGGCAGAAGGGTCAACACTTTCTCATTTCTTTCCATCAAAGCCTGGCTCTCCAAAAATTCAGACCTCCTGGTAAGTATGAATTACAGATACTTCTCAATTTATGGAGAAGTGATGTGGAGATAAACCCCTCATAAATTGAAAATATTGTAGTATAAAAATGAACTTAACACACCTTACCCTTTCATAGTGTAGCCTAGTCTACCTTATACATACTCAGAACACTTACATTAGCCTACAGTTGGTTGAAATTATCTATTACAAAGCTTATTTTATAATGAAGTGTTGAATATCTCATCTAATTTATTGAACACTGTTCTGAAAGTGAAAGTCAGAATAGTTGTGTATATATTTTCATACCATCCTAAGGTTGAAAAACTATAAATTGAACCTTCATAATTCAGAGGCTGTTCCATCTCTTGGCTGTTACTCTCTCCAACCTGAATAATATATTGGGGAAAGCTCCAAGTAGTTCAGATTCTTTTCCTTCTTCTAACATTATATATGTCATTTCTGATTGAATACAAATATATGACAATAACATCCACAGGTTACAAATTTGTGAATCTCACTGGCCTATGATATGTTAACAAATAACTTTAAATGCTTACAGGCCTGTAAATGGAAGCAAACGTTTAAAGATATTGAATGTTGAGCAATTTAAGTTCCCTCAAATCTTCTCTATTCTATGAACTGAAGGTATAGAGGTTGACTGGGTATTGAAATGAGAAGAAATAATGCAGGAAAAGTTAAAATTTACAACTTTGCATTATGTCTACTTCATTGAAATAAATTCAGTGTTTGATTTTATGTATCTATGATGCCTCAGTATTTTTTTTATTTTTTTAATTTTTTTTATTGTTGGTCGTTCAAAACATTACATAGTTCTTAATACATCATATTTCACAGTTTGATTCAAAATTTTCAGATTTTGGTGATTTTGGTAAGATGTACCTGTACCTAGTACATATTCTGACTTTCACTTTCAGAATAGTGTTCAATAAATTAGATGAGATATTCAATCCTTTATTATAAAATAAACTTTGTAATAGATGATTTCAACTAACTTTAGGATAATTTAAGTGTTCTGAGCAGTATTTGGGGGGATGAATTTTGAAGGAATGAAGTACATTCAACCTGTTCACATATTATTGAACTGAAAAATAAGGGATTTATGAATTTTTTTTATCTTTGAAGTCATTTAAGGTGAGATCGATTATTTACTAATCTTATTTGACTTAGCTGTGGAACTCAACTGAAGGCAGATGAATGCCTGTGGTCCTTTCTGTTCTGTGACTCTGAGCAGCATCTAATATTCAATTCCAGTTCACGACTTAGCTCCACTTGAATGTTTTTCCTAAGGAAAGTGAACACTTTTAATTCTACTATCTTCCCTAAATGTAATAAATGTGCAATGTGATTGCTTTCCTTTGTAATTCTTTTTATATTAGTGGGTGGTTCAACCTGCTCTCACAATGACATTTCTGGGATATTTTCCAACCTTTTCTTCTTCTTAAAATAGACTGAGACCTCATGTTCCATCTTGGAAAGCATTACATTTATGTGCTATTTGGTATCTGAACTGTGCATTTTCAATGCTGCTGAAAAGCAATTCTCTGAAAGACTGGTAGCTGTTTTCCAAGTTTCATCTGGCTTGGATTCTATAAAGATTGTAAGTTTCTGTTTGTTATCTGCTACTATGTGTAAAGAAACAGACTTATTATAAAAGCAATTAAAGGATTAAACAAAACTTATTTAGTAAATATCTTTGGAAGAAAATTCCCCAAAACATTTTATGAAATTCCTCCTTTTTATTTATTTTTTTAAAATTAAAAAAAAATTTTTTTTGGTACTAGGGATTGAACTGAGGGGCATTCGACCACTGAGCCACATCCCCAGCCCTATTTTGTGTCTTATTTAGAGACAGGGTCTCACTGAGTTGCTTAGAACCTCACTCTGCTGAGGCTGGCTTTGAATTTGTGATCCTGCTGTCTCAGCCTCCCGAGCTGCTGGGCTTACAGGCATGCACCACTGTGCCCAGTAAATTCCTCCTTTTAAATATGAAAATTAAAATAATAGGAAAGGTTAGTTATTGGGCTTCAAAGTAAATATTTTCATAGACAAAGAAAAATGTAAACGTATTGTTATTGTAATACAGTGATAATTTAAATAGTTGTGAAACCTAACAGAACAATTATGTGAATCATATGGACCTTTATAATATAAAACATTGTAGAACAAACATTTCAACCTTTCCATAAATGTATGTATTCATGAAGTGCCTGTAACACTCAAAGTGAGGAAGAATTCAATTTAAGGGAGAATTTTTTTTTTGAAAGAACTAAATCAAGTATGGTCTATCCCTAAAAATAAAAATTAATTTCTCTATATTCTCCACATGATAAAAACATGATTTTCTCAAGTGGAATATGTATTTTGTAGAAGCCCCAACTATTCCTCAAGATGAAGTGCTCCTCATCTGCATTAATGTTAACTAGGATTGGGTGAAGAATTATATTTCTTGGTCCCACCTCAGATCTAAAGAATCAAGTCTCCAGATTCTTAAGGTGACAGAACTTAAATTATTAAAATGCATCTAAGGTGATTTTTATGAACATAAGTGTAAAAACCTGATGTAATTTTAAATCACCTAGAAAAGACAGAAATACAAAACCCCACTGAAAATGCAAACCCCATTTTAAAAAAAAGCTGATTTATCAAATTGCATTTTCATAATTAGTTTACTAATAACATGGTAAAAATATGAAGATAACACATAACTAGGGATATTTGAAAATATGATTTTTTTCATTTTGGAAACACTGTGTTCTACGTAGAAATAAATATGAATGAAATTATATTGGTATTGTATGTACTTGGAGGAACTTAGACTGACTTGAATAAAAACATAATCTGGATATTGTGAGTAGTCTGCTGATTCAGAAGTTATATATACCCTGAACAATTTTCCATGCTCAAAATGCCTAAAACTATTTAGGAAGTGATATTTGTACGGTTAACATTTTATTCAGGATAAAACTCTCATCTGAATATTGCCCTAAAAATAACAGACTCTATTGTAAATCTTCTTATCATAAAAGCAGAAAAGAAACCAATATTTTTGAGAATCTAATATGTATAAAGAACTTTAAATTCATAATCTCATCTAATTTTTTCTACAGCATTGTCATAGATGTTAACTATCCCCATTTTACCATCAAGGAACTCAGGTTCAAAAAGGTTAAGTATAAAGACTCATGCAACTAAACTAAAACTCTGTGTTTGAGAACACAGAGCTTTCTCTTAAATGAAACTTTAATTCTTTCCATTGATCTATGTTGTTCTATTTCTTTTTCTCCTATTCGTCACAAAAACTATTTGGTATCTTCTCCCTTCAAAATTCTCACTAAAGATCTTGCCTCATTTCTGTGGCCTAGTTGTGACAGGACTTCTCTTGGTCACCTTTTTGTCCCCAGTGCCTGTGGCTATAACCCTTCAGTCCTGGTAACCAATATCATCTGATTTATAGTAATCTACTAAGGTGAAGCCAGGGTTAATCATGTCCCTAAATGTCTCCTCCTCTTCTTCCTCCTGTGTTCTCCCAATCAGACACGAACTGGAAGGATCTCAGAAAGGCCATATTGTGCTGGAGAAACAGAAATCATTTTATGTGACTTATGACCTTTTGGATCAGCAAGGTAAAAGACTTGCACACTCAGACCTTCTACAAGATGCTGTCTCAATGGCTACTCTCTCAACAGGACTCTCTCTCCTTCATTCTCATTGTTTCCCATTTGCTTAGATTTAGAGATCTCTCTTTCAAATTCTACTCAGGCCTACAACCTATTCCAGAAAAGCCCACTTCCCAATGTAAGACTCACTCACCTCTTTGCCCACTTTGTCTTCCAGATTGGGCTGGATGCCGATGAACTTCCTACTCTCCACAGTTGCTGCTAACTCAAGTGATAGAAATGTCCCAAGAGTGCAGACCAGTGTGCCTATGCCAATTCAAGGTTAGTCTTCCCACTTGCCATAGAGACTGATTTTCTTATTGTTTAGTTAGGAAACAAGTGTAGTCTATTAAGGCAGGCTGCCAAGTAGCTCAGAGGAAATAGTTAAACTCAGATAACAAGGAATATTGTCTTTTAGCATGGTTTTAATGTTGATACCTGCAAATGATAAGTTGTGACATAATTATTTTCTGAGCCTGGTTCATTCTGAGAGCCACCATAATAATAGAAATAATCACTTTTATTGCCGTCCAAGAAAGGTGATGCCCATTTCTATTATATTTTATAAAAAAATACTTCCATGCTTCCTACCTTTGCCATCTACCATGCAATCCCCATAGGAGATTTCTGTCACCAGATTAGAAGGCCTTACTTTACCACAGCATCTCTGGAAATTTTTTTTTTCTTCCTACTCTTCTTTCCCACTGTAATTGGGGAATTTCCTTTCCATCACTAGCAATCACTTCACATGTTTTCTGAATTCCAACACTTGATTTTTTGCTTCATAATTTTTTTCTCCCTCTCTTGCTTGCCCACTCTTCTTCATTTTAGACTTGTTCTGTACTGGAGAATTCTCACCCAAATTCAAATATTATCTACTGCTGCCACATTATAAACCAGCTTTCTTGACCCCTCATTTCTGTATCTGCTGGCCTATTTTGCTTCTACCTTTCTTGATAAAATTGTCCCCAATATCATGCTTTTTTGAGTCTCTATATCTTTCCTTTATAGCATTTGTCATAACCTGAATTTATATCTTTGTCATTATTTTTCTTCTCTATTAGACTATAAGCCACATGTAAATGATTGCTCCTATTTTATTTCTAAGACATATAGCAAGAAGTTAGGCATATAGTAGTTTTTTGGGGGGTGGGGTGGGGGTGGTACGAGGGATTGAACTCAGGGGCACTTGACTACTGAGCCACGTCCCAGTCCTATTTTGTATTTTATTTAGAGACAAGATCTCACTGGGTTGCTTAGCATCTCACTTTTGCTAAGGCTGGCTTGAACGCATGATCCTCTTACCTCAGCCTCCCCAGCCACTTGGATTACAGGTGTGTGCCACCGTGCTTGTCTGTAGTATGTTTTTAATAAATTCTTTTATGTGACTAGAAGACACTCAATCAAGTGTTCTCCCCATGGAAGAATGACAGGGATGGGGAAAATTTTGATAAATATTATGTGTTGGCTCTTGGTCCATCATCCGTTTTATTGCATTTATTTTTTAAAAAAAAATAATACACTATTTTTTGGAGAAGTTTTAGGTTTTAAATAAAATTGAGCAGGAAACACAGAGTTTCCACATATCTCCTCCTACCCATTCGCATTGCTTCCCAACATCAACATCCCATATCAGTGCCCCAGAGAGGTGCAGTTGTTAGAACTGATGAACCAGCATTAACTTCATTATCAACCCAAATCCATAGTTAACATTAAGGTTCACCTTGGTTTTATACATTTTATGAATTTTGACAAATGTATAATGATATGTATTCACCATTACAGTATCATACAGATAGCTTTACTGCCCCAAATATCTGCTGTGTTCAATCTCTTTATCCCTTTCCCCCTAACCATGTGTCAAGAACTGATATTTTTACCTTATTCATAGTTTTGCCTTTTAGAGAATGTCATGTAATTGGAATAAAATGGTACTTAGCCTTTTCAGAAAGGCTTCTTTCACTTAGCAATATGAACTTTGAGTTTTGTAGCATGATAGCTCATTTCTTTTTAGTATTGTATAGCATTGCAATGTCAGAATGTACCACAATTTATTTACCCATTCACCTACTGAGGGACATCTTGGTTAGTCATAGAGAAAAATCATCTCAGTAATTCACACTGAGATGTAAGTGCATCATATCATGTGGTTCTTAAAAGAGGACTGTAGGGAAATGACAGGCCTGGCATTAAGGAATCAATCTCCAATCATCGAATCTAATGTAAGAACTCATTAAAGTGAGATGTTTTTGGAGGAGATTTTTTCATGATTGTTCTCTCCAATTATTGATGACTATAATGTATAAATACAGCCATGAGTGTGTTTATTCATAGAATCCAATTTTCTACTACTATTTGCTTGAAACTAGAGCTACTTTAAAGACAAATATGACCTTATGAGTTGGTAGTTATCTTAAAGAATTCATTTCAAAATTCTAAGTTCTTAACTACAAATATATGCAAGAGAGGGTTACGTAATTGTGGCTGAGAGAATTATATCTCAAATTTTAACTTGCAATGAAAACTCATCAGATTAGCTGAGGCAGAAAGAAAGTATCTTGGTGGTATACCTGTGAAGGACAAGGAGGAGCTGTTTCTAAATGATGCTGCGCTATCACTCAGCTTTGCTTCTCTTGTTTGACTTTATTCTCAGACAGGAGGTACCAAATGGTGGGACATATAGCTTCTCATAGTCACCAATTTATATCCTCACAGATCACAACCCAAAGGAGAGACCACAAATCTCTCTTAGTACTTGAATAGTAAGCTCTTCTTAGAAGTATAGTTAGGTATCTTGGGTAATGGGTCTCATTGCCAGAGACGAAAGAACAATTAGGGGGTCATGTGTTGACTTCCATGGTCTGGAATGTACCGAGTTCAATTTTAGTTGAACTGTAGAGATTTGGTCCTCCAGGTTAAAGGGGTATTTTGTTAGGAAAAAGGTGTGAGGAGTGGTAGATAGCAGAAAACAACAGATGTTCAATTTATATATCCCTTATCCTGACTTCACGTTATTCATTTCTTATCTTCAGAGTGTGCTTATCAAAAGCAGGCCCTTGCTTTGAGCAACAGACTGTTTTGGATGACTCACGGGTCAGATGCTGCAGGTATTTTTCTTGCTGAAACTAAAGATACATTCATCAGTTATGTATGCAGAAGGTTAGAAGGCCAAACAAAGAATGAAGAAAGCATTAGTTTATATATTAAACACCCATTATTAGACTCAGAAAAGAATTGTATTTGCTTTATTTGTAAGTAATTATTTAAGAGTAGAACAGGGAGATAAGAAATGTTCATTATTTTTAGTATAATTGTGATAATTCTTGTATAGTTGGTTTTCTCTGCCTGGTGGTAACCAGGCAACAAGAATTGCCACTAGAATGAACTATAAGACTAAATTTTTATTAAATCGTTAAAAATCACTTTCTTATAATCCACATTTCCTTCTTACTCAAATTCTTTTTTGTTATGTAAATCCTCAAATATGAATAAAACTTTAGGATTAAATATATATTTTAATCAGTTCTTATTTTATTTAATTGCTATTTATAAGTCTTCAGTACAATTTCCCTCCACCCTCCACCTTGTTTTTTGTTTCTCTACAGGGCTGGGCAAATAATTTCTTATAATACTGATACAGTGTAGCACCAAGCCAAATATTCTACATTGGATACTATTTTGCCAATTGCAATTTCTATGATTTTAGGTAGATTATTGAACCTCTATGATCCACAGTTTTACTAAAAATTTGAAATAAAGAGAAACCCCAGAAGAGAAAATGGAGACAATAAAAGAGAAACCTCATAAGATTGCTGGGAACATTCGTTGAGATAATGTGTGCAAACCATTTGGCATATGCCTTGGTGTACCCAATGAGTGTTAGTCAATGTTTGTTTATATTAGCTATGTTAATGCTTTCTTGTGTAGAGATGCAGAAAATTTTCAATTACACTAATTATAAGTGTTAATTCCCTACTTTAAAGAATTGCAGCCTCAGGTCTAGAACTGTCTTGTAAGATATCCAGTTGCAAAATAAAGGTGAATATTTCATATTCAACTCTTAAGATACTAGAAGAAGAAGGAATCATTTTAATTAGATGCTCTGAATGTCATTGGTGGATGCAATTCAGTTCATTCCATACATTGAAGTAGATATTTAACTTGGGTAAAATGGATATTTCAGAATAAAATTAAGCAAAACTTTTTAAAGTTGTGATGGTATCTGTTATGCTTTTATCTTTTTTTTTAATTTTTAATATTTATTTTTAGTTCTCGGCGGACACAACATCTTTGTTGGTATGTGGTGCTGAGGATCGAACTCGGGCCGCACGCATGCCAGGCGAGTGCGCTACCGCTTGAGCCACATCCCCAGCCCATGCTTTTATCTTTTTAAATAGTTTTATTTTACTTTTTTCATGTATATGCAGGTTAACAACTAATCATGAAAACAACTCATTAGTTCTCATTTTAATTGGTAATTTTGATATCTCAAAGAGAATCTGCCCATGGATTTGCTAGTGCCCATGCAATACAATATGAACCAGAAACACACAGGATAAGTTGGGAATTTTTGTAATTTATTTGGTATTTTGCTGTCATCTAATTTTGCATTACACTGAACTAAGCAAATTGGTGATACAAGCAAGATTGCAACACACATACTTGTTTTGCACAGACTATATTTTCTAATGTTTCAAAACACTTATGTTTTGTGTAAATGAAAATGTGATCTCATATTGTCCTCACTAACTGTGACATATAAGTATCTTCTGTGAGTAATAAATTGGGAAGTACTGTGATATAAAAGAATGAGAAAATCAAACCAAACAAAAACCAGTTGATGTTGAGTAATAATCTGGATGTGTTCAATAATATCTTACATTGAATTTTAAGGCAGGTTACACATCTACCTATTCTAATGATCCTTAGTAAATATAAACATGTAATATTTAAGGATAATTTAATGATATGATACTATAAGCAACAAATTTGTTTTTAAGGAGATGGTATTTCTTGGAAACAATACCAAAAGCACAGGTAACAAATTACAAGTAGACAAATTGGACTTCATACAAACTAAAATCTGCTGTGCATCAAAAGAAAATCAACAGAGTGAGAAGGCAACCCACAGAATGGTAAAAGTGTTTGCAAATAACATATACAATAAGGAAGATCTATGAATGACCATAAATGTATGAAAAAAAATGCTCAATAGCACTGATCATTGGGAAAATGCAAGTCAAGATCTCAATGAGATTTGATCTCACACCTGTTGGAATGGTT